TAAGACTAAGGATGACAACAGAGCCTTGTAGCACTAGAGAGTGCCTCTCCATCCTTATGCTTGTGAATTGTAAGGATAGGAATCCATGTAGGGGTTTTTAATAAGGGTAGTTTTTGCCCCGTCTCCATTACCTGCAAAGAATTTGTCCATGCAAAGGTTCCCATCCCTCACCAATTTATATTATAAAATTAATTTAATCATTTTTATTTTATTATTTTAGAACAAAATATTTTAAATAGTTGAGTTAAAGTTAAAAAATAAAGTGTTGGATTTAGTTTGGTTTAAAATAATTAAACTGCCATATTGGATTAAAATTTAAAATTAGTAATGAATATGCATATGATTATGAGTTAAATATTTAAATTGTATTAGATTTAATATTATTTATTTTTTAATAATTCTTAGAGAATGAGGATTTTTACAGAAACGTGTGGAGATAGAAAATTTTCTTGTGAAATCTCACAAAAAAAATACTTCCCCATCCCTACTTATAGGAAGAAATATTTCTCCCCACCCCACCCCATAGCAAGGATCCTTGCGGAGATCAAAAGAAATTGTCATCCTTGGACAATTATACATACACCCAAACAATCAACACCCATCTCAACACTCAAGGCTAAAATGAGGAGAGGTAAATATGTAATTTTACTGTTTATAAGCCTTGGGTGTTAAGATGGGTGTTGATTGTTTAGGTGTATGTGTCCGTCATCCTTATTTAAGACCCAACCCATTGTGGATGTCAAAAGGTTCAATTTTTTGCAGTTTTAAATTGCATGAAACGAATTCATTCTCCAACGCATTTAGTTGAATAACGTTTTACACCACTAACAGTGCATTACATTTTCCGGTTACCTGAGTTGATCTTTCATAAAAGTGATATGTAATCCGTCCTGCATAAATTGTCCATCTCATAATCATTAATAAGGTGTGGGTTATCTAATATTAGGATACTTCTTTTGCCATCCATAACTATAAAATGTATACTTTAGTTCACTCAAGACAGATTGCGAAACAAGGTAATGGATAATTTTAATTTCATGATTATCTCTTAACTTTAGGTATACATCATATCAGAAAAAAAGTAAGTTATTTTAATTTCTTTTTTAAGGGTAAAATATGTAAAAATAAAAAATTGTCCTCAAATCCTTAATCACAAGATAAAAACAAAAAACATATGTTATTCTGGAATGAAAAGAGTATATTTTAATAGCTGAATTAAGTAGATGTCGAAAGGTATGTTGAATTAGATGATATACCAATTATTTTTTTTTAAATTTTCACTTACTTGATGGTAAAAAATATGAATGCACTAAATTAATTTTTTTGGATATGTGATAAATCAAAAAAAAAGTTTACAAAGAGTTTATTTTAATGTTTCGAAATAGTTATCAAATGTTAGTTATAATCAAATAGATTAGATATTATAAATTATAAATAATAATAGTTATCAACCATCAAATATCAACTACATTTAAAATGTTAGTTTAAATACTCTTCCAAAAGGGAGAAATATGAGCTGAAGTCACTGTTTTGATTTGGATTCAGGATCAATAGTCATGCCACTAAAAGTCCTCACTGTGGAATGAAAGAAACATGCTTTATAGGAAGACAGGCACATTGTGATTTAATTTCGGTGGGCGAGGAGGAAACAACAATTATAAACCACAAATTATGCATCATATATAAGTAAGGGTAAAGGCACCATAAATGAAAAGGAAAAATGTTCGAGCAATAAAAGGACACCGCAAATATGATTCCCATCCTTTTGGAAGCAGTAGCACTAAACCACTAATCATGAACGTACCAAAAAAGTTCTGAAGTCTAAACTTGAAAAACTAGATTTACAGGCAAAGTATTATTTTGTAAATTATGTTTAAAGGTTTAAAATTTGATATTAGTATTTAATGAAAATTTTGATCTATAATTAAAGGTGTTCTCTTATTTTTTTAATCTACCTCCACTACAAGAAAAAGAGCATTTTATGACGGTAGAATTGATCACAAAACCTAAATTTTAGACATAAATTTAATTTACAACTAAAAATATAAAATTTTGTAATCAATTATCTACCACAAAATATCTATTTTCTTATAGTACTCACTTATATGCTGACAATTGAATTAGGATCTCTTATTTTCACCTAAATGAGATTGTCATTGAAATTAGGGTTTATTGCAAAAAAGGGTGGGTTCAAAAATATTTTGGTATTTATTTTAGTAATTAATATTTTATAGACTAAATAAAAGTTACTTTAATTTTATTAAATGTTTAGTAGTCAAAAAAAATTAGTGGTTGGATCCAGTTTCTATTTTTATGTATTTCTTCCATCCTAAATACTCTTTCTGTTTATTTTTAGTATTCTCAATTTGATTTTTTAATTTTTTTAATATAAATTTTAAATGAAATTTTAATATAATATATAAATGATAATTGAAAATTTTTTTAATTAAATAAAAATATTCAACAAAAACTTAATAAATTTTTTTTTTCAATTGTTGTTTATATAAATTATTAAATTTTTATCTAAAATTTATATTTAAAAAGCCAAAATAAGAAAAGATACAAGCGAAGGGTGACTGTTTCTCAGCAAAGTGATTGGGTTAGGCTCGTCAAGGCTGAATGTACAAATTACCGGTTTTTTTTTTTTTTAAACTCATTTCATACATATACGGATAGAATCACAAACGAAGCCCACCCCAGCCCATCCAATTTGTATTACGGAGGCTTTTGAGGCTGAAAAATAAGAGATCCAATAGACTTCATTGGCTGTTCTTTTCCTTTTTAAGTTCATAAACACGAATTTGAGGATTTAAGCCCTTTCTTCCTGTGTCTCGATGGATGGTGAGATCTATATATGGGATCATTTGCCACCGCTGCCTTTTTCCATTCCAGTGGTGGCAGATTTTCTTGGTGGTATCTAGCCCCTTTATTAAATTTAAAGTTTTTAGCCTCTTACTTTATATTGTGAATAAATATATTTATAGAATGCCTTGTCCATAGAGGTTGGGAGGACAACCGATTTAGAGATTGAGGTCAGTAAAGTCTCGTTGATGTTTACAGGTAAACGTTGGTCTTGATGGGGTCTCGAAGATCAGATATTCCCTCACACCATAGCCTTTGGTAATTGACAATTATGCTGAATGGCAATTGAATTTATGATATCTATTGCATGTACATGTTGATGCCCAGTAGTGTCACTGTTTTACTTGCCATAAGTCAATGCTCCAAGAGAATTGTAAAAAGAAAAAACTACGCAAGGCAAAGCTAGGAAGTGATGGTTTCTGACCATTTTTGAGCCCAGCCTGGGGTGGGGAGATGCACCATGAAAGGAATATGGGCTTTCACCTGCTTGTATCTAAGATTATTAACAACATTAACAGTAATTCCACAATCGGAATATCAGCATTATTAAAAGATAATTTAGCAAAACATATGATCTTTTGGCTCAAATCCACTTAACAATTGTAAAAGCTATATTTAGCCTATAGAAATCATCTAGGCAGCCACAAGAAGCATCTAAAGAATTAAAACTATAACAGTAAGATGAATAGCTCAGATTTATGTTCAACAGTACAATTAGTACATATTTGGAAATCAAAAGAACTTAAACTTGACCTACATAAATCCAGCATAAAATAGTTCTATGGACCTCATAATAAGTTCGTTAAAACATATTTAGTTTGCAAATACATAATATGATCTTCAAGCTCCCAGTTCTTCCACTACTACTTAGGTCCTTAGCTATTTGCCACTGATGAGTTCATGTTCATAAAAATGGTATACATAAAACCTATAATTTTTTGGTACTCAATCCATATTCTGATCATATTATACATTAACATATTAAAAAAAAAAAAAGAAAAAAATATCCAGGAATATTTGGCCAGGTGACCTGCACCATACTGTCAATCTGGATTTCTTCATGCAAGGACATGCGAAGTGCATCTGTCCTGTTAAGTGTTAATGAATAACTCTGTGGTAAAAAAAATCCTATTTCACTTGCAATGACCTCTACATAATCATGTGGTGGTAAAAAATTGAGTGATTCTACAAAACTCTACAAGCTCTGAATAACAAATGAGTTACCTCTTCTCAACTCTCGAGTAAACAGGCTTTGTATGGGAGGGGAACTCAACATTTGCTTGCTTTTTCTTACCTCTCCAGGTTTGAGTTGAGTTCCATTATTTTCTCATGGCAGGAGATTCAAATCATTCAACCATGCATTGGCGAGAATGAAACCTACCATTTGTGAGCAATTCAACAATATGTTTTTCAAGTCTTCTTGCTCCTGGTCCAGGTCTCAGAATATCAGCATCACCCCAAACTGAACATGTCCTGTTTCCAGGCTCACCCAAGCACCATCCACCAGGTACAACTTTTCCGGGACTGCGTTCCAGAATCTCTCGGTCAATGCGGTCAAGTACAGGATCATCAAATGCAAACGCTGAAGCAAAGGCAGCACCACCAAGAATCATGGCATCAAATTCTGCAGAGCTGAGTTGGTGAGGCTTAGTCATGAAGGATTGGTTGAAAGCAATGTATTGCAGGTTATCATTGATGACAGTCCTCTTGAACTGATGAGAATTGCATACAACTGTGGAGAAGTAATTTGGGAGGGAGTAAGGCATGTTTGCAAAATACATTAGCAGAGTCCTAGGAAGATTATCTGTACCCAGGATGCAGAACTCTATGAAACTCCGACTTAAAATTGAAAAAGATGAACCTGCAAAAAAGAGGACTTTTAGTGTTATTTTCAGAATTTCCTTTGTCCTTAAAAAAAAAAAAAAAAAAAAAGCATTTTGATACTTAAGAGTGTATTCAAAGGCAATTTGATCACAACAAAGTGGTGTATCTTAGGTGTTTGCTGATGCAATACCTCCCTAATACTGAAGGAAAGGTAAAATAACTTTTGAGACTGCCTTGCTCACATCTGTAGCTTCTCTCTTCCTTCCTACCTTTCTCTACTGCTGTGATTCTACAAAGTGAAGGGTGACTAGGATCTTTACAACAATACAAACTGGGCTTTACCCAAACTAGCAAATTCATACATCTACAACACCACTAAGCAATCACCATTAACAAAACTAGGTTGGACCACAACAAAGCATGCTATTCTATTGCAGATCTTTCGGTTCACAGGGATTACTGTTCACAGAACAAGAAAAAAAAAAACAAGCCACTCAAAGTTAGTTTAAAGTTTAAACTCTTCAAAAGATCAGCATTAGAATTGAAAAAAAAAAAGAAAAGAAGAAGGAAGGAAGGAAAAGAAAAGGGAGAACGAAAAACACAGAGAAGGGATGCAGGAGATTAATGGTTGGTTCAAACGTTTTTACCAATATTTATGCCATAAAAGTGATATGATTCAAATACTTTAGTTTGCTTGTCCATTACCTAGAATCCTACTCGTGAAATGCATACAGACATGCTCATATCATCCAGTTTGCATATTATATAGCATTACCCCCATTAAATCATTTAAAGTAATTAAGCAAATCGCTGGAATCTCCCAGAAACTAAGGAAAAAGAAGTGAGAAAAGACACACCTGAAAACAACCTGAAAGCAGTAGGCAAATCCCGTTTTTGTGTAGCATAGTATATCTCACGGTTGCCCAAAAGATGAAGACCAGTATCAACAATTATTGGTTTCAATCTCCTAGACCTACAATGAATAACAGGAAACACAAGAAAAAACATTAATCAGCATTGATTACTTAACTCAGTCCGTGCAATGAAAACAAGAAAAAATGGGGGTTACGGGGACAGACACCAACAGAACTATGATATATCACTGCATTCTACATAGATTTAGAATGTATTAAACCATCAGCTCATCCTTAAAGTAAATTTATCATACTCTTTCCAGCCAATGTAACTGGTGTGGTTCACAAAGTTGATGTCTTTCGGCAAATAGGACAAAATGTGAAGAAGATCTGCAAAAATCCAAAAGAACCCATTAAAGACTCGACAAAGAAAAATGAAATCCTAAACACTCGGATTGACAATGCCACTCAAAAACAATGTACTGAGAATGGTAAACACACAAATACTCAGATTAGAAAGCCCAATGAACTGATTCAAAATGCCACAAAAAATGCAACAAGCCGGGAAAAAGGCAAAAACTATTACCATCTTGAGTAACAAGCGGGTAATCTCCAGCACTTAGATTGATAAACCAATCCCAGTTTGATGAAAGACGCAGAAGAATTGAGGCACCGTGAAGGGTGGCGGAGATTGGTGTGGAGCCTCTTGGGTAGGCATAATCTGCCTTCCCTATAACATTAACATTTTGAGCCGCTCGAAAGATTGGCACAGATTGGACGGCTATAGCCAATAGGTCACGCTCCGTTTGAGGAGCGGAGAGGTCAAGGTGGAGGAGGTAATGGTTTTTAGGGTGGTAGGTCGCGAAGAGAAGACGGAGAATCCGACCCGCCTCTCCAGAGGATCCGGATATGAGATAGGCAATGGACGGAGGGGCGGGCTCGAATGGGATCTCCGACGACAAGCTAAGCCTGTTCGGAAATAGAAATGGGTCGGGTCGGGCCCTGGTGGGGAGGTGTGACCTGGTGGGGTAGAAGGGGAGGACGACGATGAAGAAGAGGGAGAAAAAGGATGTGATTATGATAATGTAGAGGGTGGTTCTGGTGTGTTCTTTGAGGAAAGGGCTGGTAGTGGTTGCGGTGGTGGCTGGTGGTGCTGGCGGCGGTGGGGAGTGGAGCTGCATTGCTCTTGGAGAGGTGGAGGGAGCTTTGGCAGGTTGGTCGGTTAAGTTTGGTTGTCTGATTTCACTTCTGATCTGCTGGCTCCTAGGGCCCTGTATGGTTTGGCAAGTTTCTGTCTCTAAATTGCTTTCTGTAATTCTCATTTTTTAAATATACATATGGGATTCAAAATTTTCAGATAAATTGTATATTAAAAATATAATTTGTTTTATGAATTTTTTAAAATATTTTTAATAAAATAATATAGAAAATAAGTTTATTAAAGATATTTAAAGAAATTTATAAAAACAAAATGTATGGACTACTCTAAAAGATACTTTTTTGTGTGTGTACATATAATGTGATTTTATAATGAAGATTCTTTCCGTATTTTGTTTGAATTATTCCATTTATGTTTTGTATTTTCAGTATTCAGAAATTGTGTTTATCTACTCTTAAAAATGTTCAACATTTTTTTTTGCAAAATTTTTTTAATTTTCCTTTGAAATTTTGAAAAAAATGGTAACAAAAAAAGAAAAAAGAAGAAAGAACAATATAGGAATTCCTAACTTGATGAACAAGGCAAACTATTATGAATAAAGAAAATCTTGAGAGAAAATATATAAATAGCCAAAGAAAAAGTATTTTAAACGAATTAGACAAAATTAGATTAATTCATAGTTTTTTTTTTTTTCTAATTTTCCTTCAATTAGTATATATCTATTAGTTTAAAGTTCGAAAGGAAAAAAAATAAGATGAAAATGTTAATTTAACTTTTATTTGTTATAATAATAAGGTATTCCATCCGTTCAACAACAATAATTGGGCAGGAGGGCCCTAAAGTATATGGTTTTGCCATTCTTTTACAACATTCTCATTACTTACAATTTGGCCCTGTCGTCCATTTTTTCTTTGCTCTACATGTGATCCTAAATGCTTTTCATTGCTCTCCCACAACAAGGATGCTAACAAAGTTTAGATTCTACTTCTACTGCAAGAATAACTCTTGAATGCTCCAGCTACAGTCCTACATTAACAAACACAAAGAATTGGACCTACAAACCAGCGTTGCCCAATCTAAGTGGAAGCAACTCCAAAGTAAACCTTAAATTGCTTCTCCAGTCTATTGAACAAACTAATTATCATCTATTAGAGTTGGAGTCATAAAGCAATCAGAAGAGCTTAGGATAGGATTTACAACCTGCAGGTATCTCTAACTGCTGCAGAAGGTTTAAGGAATTTTACAAAAATGAGGTGACATGCAAAAACAGGGGATTCTAGGCAATTCTATGAGGATATTTATAGTACTGACAGGGTATGAGAATAATTTTCTTAAGCATCACCTCCACTCTCATCATCTTGTGGATCATAAGGAACTTCATGTCGGGGTCTGTTATACTTCTCACGTAGCTGCTTGATGGGAATGAAATCCCCAGCAGAATCCATCCCATAAAATAGGAAGGAAATATAGGGATGATCAAACCTTCTCTGCAAATAGAGGATGGCATCCTATAGTTAGCAGATGCAAATCACAGGGAACAGGTCTCCTGCTTCGTAATTGTAATTTTACTTACGATGTCTGGTTTATCTGGGGCAGTCAGATGCTCCTCTGGAACTGCAATGTAAGAAAACCATTCCAACAGGTCTCAGGGATTAGCAACACAACTTGCAAAAACTTAAAGCGCATACATCCAACATTTTGTAAACTAGTCACTTATGGGATTATATGTGCTATTTAAAAGTGAATGTCAGACAAAAAGCAACCATGGAGATGCATGCAAAATATAACAACCATGAAGGTGATGTTACCAACAGTCAAAAGAAATTGTATCAAATAAAAATAATTGAGTTTACCATATGCCACCAGTAGGTTTGGGTCTGCGTAAACATCAACCAAGACCTGGCCAAACGGAGAAAACATAATTACAAATGTAATCACAAGTATGCAACAGCAACTAATCCAGTGGCCTAAGAGTGCAAATTTCCTTAACCAAAACCACCACCTCCCAAAGTAAAATAAAATAAAATAAACATTGCCATTTAGAAGCTGTCTGATGCTCAAATCATCCGTAAATACCCATTGAATAAGGAAAAGTTCACAACAAAAGCAGTCCCTATTATTATGCCCTTATACTACAAGAAGTATGTTTCCCTGATCATCATTCATTATTGCAAGCAAAAAATAACATAAACAATCTTGCTTTTAGATGATCGTTGAAAGAAGGTTTCTTTGCTCTTGCAATTTCAAAAAACGTTTTGTTTCACTCTTGCCACTGGAGAGTGCCTCTACCTGAATGTTGCTTTCATCAATACTTTCTCAAAGATAGGATCAACTATAAATGGAAATTGTGCATGCAATCAACATATTCCAAACAGCATCTTTAGGAGACATAAGTTCTATCTAAAACAATTTGGTAAAATGGTAAAAACTAAAAAAATCACAGCATTTCTCCCTTAACTTTACCCCTACTTTAATTTTAAGCATTGTAATTTTAGAACTTATAACCAAGCCCCCAACTTAGTTATCAGCTGCAAATGAATCTATTAAATACTGATATTTACGGCCCCCCACCCCAAAAAAAAAAAAATGAATGATATTCAATTATCCTCAATTTGTTTCTTTTCGACATGAGATAACAAAAAGTCAAATGGGGGATAAAAAATATTTTTAGATAAAAGCTATCTTGTCCAAACCTATCCTTCTCAGTTCATTAACAATGTTGAAATACAACTACTCTCATTGCTTTTATGGGCTGATATGGATTGTTTTGACCAGAGGTGTTGCCAACAATAAGCTTTTAATGTTCTTGTTGAATTCATGTGAAAGTTGATGTGGAAAATAAAATGACACAAAAGGAGTTGAACATTGTTTACTTTTTAACAGTTAAAGAAATTAGTCGCAACTAAAAATTAATAACTGAGTTAGTCCAGTGGTCCACTATTAGTTTTTTAACATGGGGCTCCAAAATGTAACTAGAGGTGAAGTTTGGGATCCAATGATTCCATTTACCCAAAACCATTTAGAACAGAAAAATTATGAGTCAATGAGCAATAATCAGACAAATGAGCAAGCTACATAGTCTGGTTACTGTGAAGATTATCAGGATGACAGTTTATTTGGTATAGCACAGAGGGGCATTGAAGAATCCTCTTCCCACAATAAGAGGATGAAGTTTGCTTTCCATTACTAAATTAGACTAATAAGGTCTCTCCAACAAGGGGGAAACAATATCTACCACATGATGGGGATGTGGAAAACCTTTCTCACAGACTGGTAAGATCCATGAGAGAGGAGCATCCCATATCCCCAATACATGGAAGACTCTTTTCCACAATGGCCTTTTTATTTCATGTCTTTGCGTGTCCAAAGAACACATAATAAAGGTCAATGCACAGAAGAAAAGCAGCCCATGGTTAATTCACATGTCGAAATCTTAAATTAGTGTAAACAAAACCTGATAAAATGGCTGATTAGAACCACGAGACAACTTTTCAACTTTTGCATTTTCCATCCATGAACTTGATTCACAGCAAACTGGATCCATCCCACAAACCACAGCTCGATAAGCTGAAAAAAGGAGGAGCTTTAGCTACAACATAAAAAGGATGAAAGAAACCTCATACCAGCTCTTTACTAAGATGTCTATTGAGTCTATGAAGAATTTAACTTCTTCTCCTGACTTACTTTCTTCAACTAATTGCATTTGATTCTTCCGAACTGTAACTGATCATAGATTATTTAAGATGGCTACATTGAACCACAATGCAGAAAATTCAGAATTACAAAGTTCTACCACAATTGCAGAGGAATGAAGCATTCTTCTTCTTTCTCTATTCTCTTACCATCATTCCTCACCAATAAACAAATAAATAAAATAAAATAAAATAAAATCTTTCTGCTAGAATTGACGGGAAGGTTGACAAATAGAAAAAGAGAAGCATGTTCAAATAATGCAGTGAAAGGTCATTAACTTCCTACCAAAAATTTTATGATTGACCTTCTGCCCCAGTCGAAATGCATATTGTGCATTTTCATATGCCAATGCTTTTGCTGATGCAGCCAAAGATTCTGCTTCCAGTTTAGACATTTCATCCCGTAATTGAGCTGCCAAAGCATAATTCTCATTCTCAATTGCATTCTGGAGGTCTCCACTGAAAGGAAACAAGCAGAACCAGCCTAATAAAATATTAATGTTGAACAACCAAGCCATTAATGTAAAAGGACTCTTTAGAGACAGTCAGACAGGTAGAAAATTAAAAGAAAAAAAATGTCATTGGAAAATAATTCACTGTACGGAAAAAGGTGTAACTAGTTTAATAGAAATATGCAACATTAGTGATGAATGAACAAACCATAACAGTTAAAGAACCATTTAGACGAGCTGGCAAAATGAGAAATGGGGCTGGAAAAACTAAGATTTCAAGCAGAAGCATAGATAAAAGGATGCTGGACTCACCGTAGGCGAACAATGTTTATAGCCTTATCTTGTGCTTCACTCTTGGAGGATGATCCTCGTTTTGCTTCTCGCTGCTTGATGACTTCTGCTTCAACCTTCAAAGAAGAAAAGTTGTTAAGACAGTGCATACTTAATCAATAACTCCACATAACACAAGTCAATTGTCATTAAGCTTACATCACCATGCAGGCAAATTGTTATGGGCAAGCATATACAAATTCAGTAATAAATGGTGTTGAGCATTGAAATCCTCAAAAGATCATATTCCTACAAGCAATTGCAGTGTCTAAAGCAATTTATTATCTAAATAGCAAGAACGCCAACTAAGAACTGAGTAAAAGAAATCAAGAATACTCATTTTTAAAAAGGTAAATTGTTAGAATGGCCCCTCAAGATAGTCATTTGAGTATATGGTGAAATATAACCTCAGCAAGCCTGTTTCTGAGTTGCTGTGCAATTTCATACTGCTCCATATTCAATGCTCGCTGCAATTTCATAAAATCCAACAAGGCAAAAGCCTTTGAGATACAACTCCAACCACCAGAAAGCAAGAAATATGCTAAAAACAGTTGACTAACCAACAAACTAAAATCCCAGAAAAAGCAGCCCGCAAACCTGTACTTGAGTAGCCAAATCAAGCTGGAAGAAGAAAATTAGTATATCCTCATTAGCACTCTCACTTCGCTCTGAGCTTGCCTCCAATTCCTGCTCTCCTCCTTGAAATGGCCATCCTGCTTCAACCCTGAAACCGCTTTTCTTAAACATGTAGGGATTGGCCTCAAAATGAAAACTTGGGACGTGGAAAACGCATCGCCTGGGAATCCCAGGTTTTATATGGGTCTTCCTGATCAGCTTGAAATGTCTCCTCCATGAAACGTCAGACCCAGAAACCCCATCATTCCCGAAGCTAGTGAACGTGCTTAAAGAGAGACTTCGAACCATCTCCTTCCGGATTCAGTATCTGCAATGCTTTACAGCAAACACAAATGAATGGACCTTCACCAGGAATCAGACTCTAGGACACCGGAAAAAGGCCGGATTCTGGAATTAAGGAAGCCCCCTTTACAATAAAAAATTAAAAATTGGATATTTCTTTTTTGAGGACGAAAATCGTATGCAACATGATGCTGACGCGTGGAAGCTCGTCCATTTGCAGCAACCAGTTGTAAGTTGTCACTGTGGTGTCCAAAGTTTACAGCGATGCATTAATACTCTAGTGTACCTAAATGCATCGGCAGTGCTTGGTATCTTCAAAATTTTCCCCACATGACCCCTTATTTACATTCATATTATTTTATTAAACTCAGTGCCTTGAGGCCTTTCGCTCCAAATCTCCAATATTGAGAGATAATGACTTTCAAGTTCAACTTTCAAAGTTTCATCTTTCAAGCCAACAAGCTTTTTGATAATATAGGTATCTATAAGCCTTACTAATATTACAGTAATTGCAACATCTAGAATCACAGGTCGGTTGGAAGTTATGAGCGAATTATATAATTGTTGTATAAACTAATTATTATTAATAACTTAAATTTAAAATTTTTAAAGTTTTTAATCTTGAGTTAAAAAATTATTAGATTAATAGTGAGTTTCAATTCAAGTTTTTTAACTTATATTTAGTATGAATTCTACATTACTACCTAATAAACCTAATTCTAATTATTCTTATTCTCAATAAATTTAATATATAATTACTGAAAGTAATAATTACTAGTAACTTATTAATAATTAACTCTATCTTCAAAAAACTTTACTTTCTGATCTCTTATATGTTGGATTGAAAAAAATTACTACATCCTAGGCAATTAAAATATGATAAATAATAAAAAAAGACTAAAATATTATTAATAAATCAATGTATAAAAAATTTATTAAAAATATTTAAACAATTTTACAATTCTTAACTTTTAAAATCTCAAACCATCTTAATTTTTACCTTTCTCAAATTATTTTACCCGGTAAAACCGACCCTAACTAAAGTTGATTCTGTCGATATGATGCTGATATCCATCTACAATTCAACTGGAAAGCCTATGTCACATTTTCTTTATTATTTCGTTTTTAATTTATTAAAAAAGAGAACAGGAATGGCCCTTTACTTGTTTAGCATTTCCCCGTTCACAAGTTGTTCCAAGTGGAACTACAAGACATTGCACGAAAGGCAAATATCAGATGCAACCATGGGAGTTCGGCATTCAACAACACGACCCCCATGAACAAAATGTAGATGTAGTTTCATCTATAAAACAACAGTAAATTACCAGTAACGAAAGGAGGATGGAGTCTTATTTTCAAAAAAATGGATCCGTACAAACTAACTCTATCAGAGAAAATATAAATCAGAGATGGGGTTTCGTTCTCCATCACAAAAACTACCTACAAGTTGCTCTCTGGTCATGATTACATGGATGCCTTGAGTGTGAAACAATTCAGGCTCAAATTGGCTAAAATCCTAATGTTCTGCATTTTTGTCCAGGCAATATGGGCAGGTATTGTATTGGGAAGAACCTCAGTAATCCATGCCACCCATACCACCCATGCCGCCCATTGCTGGAACTTCCTTCTCATCCTTGGGAAGCTCAGATACAACAGCTTCAGTTGTTGTCATCAATGATGATACACTGCAGAAGACAGCATGTACAGCTCATTACTTAAAGACAACAAATTCAGGAATTATCTACAAACTGGAAACTATAAATCAGCTTTCCAGCTTACCTTGCGGCATCAACCAAGGCAGTTCTAATAACTTTCACTGGGTCAACAATACCGGCTTTAACCATGTCAACATATTCACCTGGTAACACAAAAGAAGTGGCAGAATAAGTATGTAGTGCACCTTCCTTAACAACTACCTAGGAAAAAAAAAAAAAAAGAAACAAACAAACAAACAATGGATATGCACTGACCTTTGGCAGCATCATATCCAAGTTCAGGGTTATCCTGCTCCAACAACTTGCCAACCACAACAGCTCCCTCAACTCCTGCATTCGAAGCTATTGTGTACACAGGTGTCTGGAATAAAATGAAATAATTTGGGAGTGAGTCCGAGTCAGGGTTATACACAGATCTGCACAGTTCATATTTTTAAACTTTTCACCAGAACATGTAGACATTTCAAAATTCACATCTTTGAATATTTTAACTCACAACATTAGCTTTTAACAAAGATTTGTCACAGTGATCCCTTTAATCTGAAGAGAAGAGGCATACAAACCTTCAGAGCATTCTGAATAATTTGAACACCAATCTTCTGGTCAAAGTTGGCAGTAGGCAGCTTGTCCAACTCCTTTGATGCATACAAAAGAGCAACACCACCACCTATACAGCAGAACTCCTTTTAAGCATGTTTTCATATTTTAAGTTTAACAGAACAAAGGGCAAAAAACAACTTAAAAACTTACCAGGAACAATACCCTCCTCCACAGCAGCCTTTGTAGCATTCAAAGCATCTGTAACTCTGTCCTTCTTCTCACCAACTTCAACTTCACTGGCTCCTCCAATCTGCAATTTCAGTAATTCCAGTGTTAATCTATTTTGTACATTAAAAGAAGAACAGAGGTGGGAATGTTTGCAACTACTTTGAACATCAAACTAGAGTTAAAGACTTCAAAGCAGACAGGAAGTGAATGCATGCAACAACTCCAA